TCAGAGGGAGAGTGCGTGCACTTCTTGTAAAGCATGGCTATAAAGACTTATTAAAAGTATTCATAGAATCATAGAATCATAGAATCATTAAGGTTGGAAAAGACCTCTAAGATCATCAAGTCCAACCGTTAACCCAACACCACCATGCCCACTAAACCATGCCCCTAAGCGCCTCATCTACACGTCTTTTAAATACTTCCAGGGATGGTGACTCTACCACTTCCCTGGGCAGCCTGTTCCAAGGCCTGACCACTCTTTCAGTAAAGAAGTTTTTCCTAATGTCCAGTCTAAACCTCCCTTGGTGCAACTTGAGGCCATTTCCTCTCGTCCTATCGCTGGTTACTTGGGAGAAGAGACCAACCCCCACCTCGCTACAACCTCCTTTCAGGTAGTTGTAGAGTGCAATGAGGTCTCCCCTCAGCCTCCTCTTCTCCAGGCTAGGTCTTCCATTTCCTTGGCGAGTAGCTTTATAATTCAGGATTTCTCTGTGTTTGGTATTCTGAGAAATGTTGCTTTCATTTAATCTTTTAATACAATGTTATAGTAAGGATGGTTGGGTTTGTTTTTTTTTTAAATTATTTCTATAAAGCAGATTTGGTATGTGCACATTGTGAATTTTTTGTGTATCCTTTGCTATCTAGCAACTATGTAGTAAAGAGATCCAAGTGAAATAGCCATCTGCTTCAGCAAGATGTTTTTCTGAACTTACATGCATGCAAGGGGAGCCTCCTGTTAAGCAAAGCGTTTATTTTTCCAACTGGTATTTTAAAACTTTCTTTTTCTGTGCTGTTATTTAACAGCACAGGGCACTTGTCATGGCCTTATCCTAATCAGCCTACTAGCTGCATTTATAAGCAGCATCTTTCCTTTAGTATTTAGTGAAGTGCTATAAACTAGTTTTCTCAGCTAACTTTGTCGAAGATGAGCAGTTGCACAGTAACCTAACCTCCGCCTTGCACTCTCGCCTCTCCGGTGAGGCGGCTGCCGCAGGTTGCCATCTTGTCCCAGAACTATGGGAGGAGGATGCTCCTGGAATTACCTTTCTGTTCCTGGTGTTCTAAGCCTGAGCTGTCCTGCCCTGGCACAGCCGCTGCCTGGCGGTAGCTTATATTTATTAGTAAATTTCAGTTTCATGTAGAAAAGAAATTGCTATTTTAAAAACAAAGTGGAGTAAAAGATTTCTGCCTTCGTTAAAGAATGATGTTCTCACAGCTTTCATAGCGCTCCCACGATTTTCCATGCTGAAATATACAGACAATTTCATGTTGTTTTTGTATGTTGGAACGTGAATTGGGAAGTTTTGTTCAGGAGATGGTAAAAGAAGAAACTTTGACGTAAAAGGATGAACAAAAGAAATTTAATGAAAAGTACGAGTGATTTAGAAAGTAATTTGGAACCTCACTGGTAACCTTTTAACAGTTTTCCAGCGTTAAACATTTATAGGTTAGTTTATGCTCACGCAAGTCAGACATTATTTTCTGTGATTCAGCGTTGATAAACTGCCGTAAGGGTTAGTGGTTTGTACTTGGTGTGCAAGTGTGGAAGACCTTTTATCACCTGAAACCTCTTGTACACAGGGGCATAATAGTGAAATATTTAGTTTTTCTTCTAAGCATCTGTGAACAAAAAAATCAAAAGTTTCAAGATCTGTATCATTAAGAACTTAAAATATAATTTAAATAATCTCCTACAGAAACGCTTACGGTAGTGCAATATGTAATTTTTAGAAAGCAGAAATGCAGAGAGTACTTTGCCTCACTGTGGGAACCAGTCTTGATTGATGCATACGGTAGTGTGGTGTTTATTACCTTATGTTACTGTGAAAATTGTTGATAAATTGTGGAATGCTTTTAATGTAAGGATTCTATTTTTAGGAGGAATAAGAGAATAAAGGTTTCTATCACTAACCATATATTGTCTTTTAATGTTTTGGAATACAAATGCACATGATAGAAATTACATAGAAAGATGTAGGCATTGTGTGTCTTTTATTTCATGTGTATACCTCATCACCGCATTTTGTGGATGTTAAAAACAAATTGGTAACTTGCAATACTTTTTATATTTTTTTCCCATTTGTTTATTTTTTGAATAAAAGTTTTGAAGTGATTATTACTACATTAAGGTAGATCAGTTAATTTCTAAAAAATTAGAAACAACTGATTCCTCTGGGGTGTGAGAAGCACTGAGCAGCGTGAGTGCAGTTTTCCTGTTGCTGTGTGTTGGAGTGTCCTTCTAAGGAGGACTTGGGAACCAGTTTGACTGCAGTGTACTGGGTCATTGCTGCATTTCTAGGATGAGGCAGTGAATTAACAGTATCAAATGCTGCAGAGAGTCTAGGAATATGAACACAGAGTGTATACTTGGCTAGATCAGTTACATTTTTTTTAAAAATCTATTCTTTGTGCTGAATAAGGTAGGACTCCTGTGGAAACATTAGTATGTGATCATCTAATTGGGAGATTATAAGTATGCCCACAAAGATTGAATTCAGTTTGCATTTATGCTTTTAATGTGTGTGATTGATTTTGCAATTTCACTATTCTTACATTATGCTTCTTGTTGACAGCAGAACAGTCCCACTGTGACTGTTGAGCTTCAGGATGTTTTTATAAATGGAAATACTATATTCAGTTTCAATTTTTGAATAGCTGTTGTTAGAGGCAACATCGCTTCCTCATCCTTGTGTCTTCCCTAGCCCCTCCAGTGGAAGAAGGAGCAAGAGGAGGTGTTAGGCTGGCTCCTCGTATCCTGTGTGGTGGTGCAGGGCACTGACCTTCGATCGTAGGTGGGGTGGGCTCATCCACCTTGGTAACAAGGGAAGGGAACTAGGCAAAAGGAGCGAGGGTTATTTAAACTGGTGATGGTGTAGAAGAGGATTTGTGTGACTTTCTTATAACATTTTGGTTTTGTGGAATGTCCGTGGTACCCAACCTAACAGTGAAAGGTATGTCATGGTGTGAAGTGAGACACATCCGATGTTAGTTCCATTAATAGTGCGATTTGTGGCTCCCCGCCCATTAGTGTGGCCCTTGGCCGCGTGTGTACTCAGTCTCTGTTGTTTTGTGACAGCAGATACAAAGAAGAATCTGTTCTCTTTGCACTGCCGTATAAAGGAAGAAACCTTGGATAAGGTGAAAGACTTTGGCAGATATTGCAGTTTTGTTATGAGCTTCTTAGCTCCTTTTTAAGAGGTACTCACTAGCTGCCCTATTTATGAATTTTACTTAAATATGTCATGATTTTTAGCTGGTCATATAACTCATGGGACTTACTTAGAAGTACGGTGTTCTTATGCATAAAAAGAAGGTCAGCTCTATGCATAGATCCATTAGCAGATATGCAGTATTTAGCTGTTGTGTTAACATTGTGGAAATTACTCGTTTAAACTGCATTTAACAGTATTAGTAGTATTGATGTTGCAAAGACTGTAAGTACTCCTTGGTTACAAACTTCGTTTTTAATGCTAATTTTATGAAATTAGTTATTGCATTTGGAAATCCAAAGGCTGTACTTCTTAAACTTCAACCATTATTTATTTCGAGAACTAAGATTAAGCCCATAGTAGTTTTTTCTTGGTTTTGTTTATACTTTAATTTTAGTCATCTTGTCAGACATATCGCATGCTGTCAGACTTGTCTTCTGCTATTGAATTTTCTGTCTTAGGATAGAGAATATTAAACTCCTGAGTTCTTAAGATTGCTGTGACTCCCTCTCTGCTCCCCCATCTCTTGATTTATGGACCCCTAAAACTTTTCAAGTGAGGTCCTTACTGGCTGCTTGGAACACTGTAGTAAACATAGGCATACAGAGGGCTGCCTTAAATAGTACTTGCAGATTCCTTGGAGTTAGTCTGGACTCTCAAAGAGCCTGCTGTTTGAATACTGTGGCTACGAAGGGAAATTATTTTATATGTCATGATTCTGTCTCAGCTACCTGGCTTGCCTTGTAATCCAGTAATATTACATATAATGACATTTTCTTACATTTCTCAGACACACAAACACTGTAAACCAAAATATTATGACCTGGATATGTACATGTTTATAAAAGCAGGAGAGAACAGATGAGGGTAAATCTCCCTAACTAGAGATGATAGGGGAGTCTATGCCAAGAGGCAGAGAGTGATAGCTAGTTGTAATGGGGACCTCGCACAGAAAACGCCTCAAGGAAACATAATTTAATGTGTACCAAAGTGAATTTTCTTCTGTGATGTTGTTACCACACAGAGAAATAAAAATTAATTTTCAGAGTTGTGATTCATCTTGATTGCTTCTCTTACATTGACTTTTCCTTCTGAATGGGATCTCTCTCGTTCTCTTCTGTGTTACGAGATAGATTTTTGCCAATCTTGTGTTTACATACTGCTTTTTCTGTGTGAAGTGTCTTCTCATTCCTCTTACCAGCTCTTACTAGCTCTTATTCTTATGCTTTCATATTAATTCATATTAAGTGTGTGACTTTGTCTCCGCGGTGCCTTTCAGGAGGGTGGTGAGATAGGAAATACCAAGGAGGGAAGAAACAAAGGAGTGAGCTGGCTGACGCTGGTAGCGGCGTTGTTTCCCTTACGGATAGCCCTCTCTGCTTTTGCTGTAGCAGTGGGTTGTGTCCAAGAGAAGAAGGGTGCTCCGGCCAGCCCGCTAGCTATAAAAAGAGCATTATTCCTTGGAGACATGTTGCAAAGCTAGCATTCTGGCAGAGAAAATACAGAAGTTAGTTATTTTTGAGTTAAACAAAAGTCAATACTGTGATGTATTATATACCATAAATTCTCCTTCCTACAGAACGTAAGGGCCTAGTAACAGTGTGCTTTTGTATTTCTAGTTGAATTATAGCAAGTAATGATTTATATGAAGTACAGAATATTTGCATACAAGTGAGATAGGCCTACATTTGGATATTACCCAAAGTGCTTCAAGAATCAGTGTTAAGAAAAAATATCTTTTATCAGCTATGAATGGAAATGAAACCTGCTGACGGTACCTCAGGCCTTTTTTATGCACAGCAGCCAACACAGAGTGCATTCCACAGAGCGCATGGAAAATTATAAAGAAATCACTTTTTCTTTCCATGCAATTTCAGTACCTTAACTACAACCCAAACTTGTTTTTTAAGAATGTCTGGGATGTCCAGTTATATTATATTCTATGTAATTTTAAAAAGTCTTGTCATTCAGGAGTGCTTCTGAAGGAAGGACAGAGCAAAAACATTTCTGTGCGTTCTTGGACAACTTTTGCTCTTGAGATTTGCAGGGATGTTAATTTATTATTTTTAAGTAGAACACTGATGACTTACTTGCTAGGTTAAACTGTATAACAGAGGCTTTTCAGACAGTCCTTTGTAAAAACCTGTAATCCACGTTAAACTCCAGATCCATGTTTTAATCTTTCTTCATTGCTCTTTCAGGTTAGCTGCTTTAGGACCCTTGTGTCTGCTCTACATCCATCTTCAGATTTCTCTCTAATGATTTCTATTTCAATTTTTTTTTTTAGCAACTTATTAAAAACTTCTGTAGTGTATGGAAAAGTTGCTGTAAATATTTGAGTTTCTTGCACTTTTAAGGCAGCATTCCAGATATTTGCATCAATCCCCATGATGTTTAGGAAAACTGGAAAATCTGTAGGATTAAAATTCTCTCTGAGTTACTTGTAAGCTATGTATTTCAAATAAATAGCTGCTATACATCTCTTAAGATACGTGTGTAGCATAAAATCGTCATCCTAAATATTTTTAATCATGTTTAAAATCTGGATAGAAAGTATTCCTATAATTTAGGAATTCTATTTTAATATCTGCCCTTGTCACACATCTTAGCTTTCTGTACCATAAGCTTCGGAGTACATAATCCTGATGTGCTGGACTTAGCTTCTGTGAAAAGTTTTACATTTGAAAACGCTTTTGAACCATTGTGAACTGTGGTATTTTTGATGTCCACAGTCCACCCTGTGGGCCTTTGTTGCTTTTGTAAATAAGAATCTGGCACAGAGAGATGACAGATGTGTGGGGGACTTGCTTTGAACATTTTCGTTACAGCTCTTTGAAAAATACCTTCTTCTTTGAGCCAGGAAAAGCTTCCCCAGGTCTGATGGGAATTGTTCACAAGTCAGTGGCTTTTCCAACTGGCTGCAATGTGCTGCTTGTCTTCTAGAGCAAGGGGTGTTCACAAGTTAGCAGCCACTGTAGCGCACTCCTGAACTAAGCAGTGCCACCTTTTTATTTTAGTTACTGAAGCTGTGGGTTAAAAAAATCCTTAACTCCATATGCCATCTGAAGCAGCCTCACAAGTCATCTTCACTCGGCTAAACCTGCTGAAGTATCACATCATTTGCTGTCCTAACGAGACGAAGCTATTTTGCAACGTGTTTCTGTGGCTAACG